CAGAGAGCCTGATGCAGGACTCAATCCCAGGACCCTGAGATCATGACATTTAACTGACTGAGCCACCCAGGCGTCTCCTGACTCCACTTCCTTTTTTTTTTTTTTTTAAGATTTTATTTATTTATTTGTCAGAGAGAGACACAGTGAGAGAGGGAACACAAGCAGGGGGAGTGGGAGAGGGAGAAGCAGGCTTCCCGCAGAGGAGGGAGTCCGAGGCGGGGCTCGATCCCAGGACCCTGGGATCATGACCTGAGCTGAAGGCAGATGCTTAACGACTCAGCCACTCAGGCGCTCCTCCACTTCTTGATAGTAGAAACCTCATACACATACAAGAGATGGGAGGAATTGTTGGTGGCCATCTTTGGAAACAATCTCTTATAGTTTGCCTTCTGGAATAACAATTGATGTCCCTTCCCAATCATAATACACTCACATTCTCAACCGAAAGTCTCAAATCATTATGGCATTGGATCAAAGTCCAGGATCTCACCATCTAAATCAGGCCTATGAAGAAGAAACTCCTTTGGTGTAGTTCATTGGGTGCATCTGCTCAGGTGCAACTTTTTCAATCTGAAGGCCTATGAACTAAAAAGACAAGTTATCTGGTCCCCTTGTTTTCTGTTCCCCACACACCCAAAACACCTGATGATACAGAGACATAATGACTCCTTCAACGAATGTTCCTGTTCAAAAAGAGGAAGAACAGAAAGCATATAACAGTCACTGATCCAAAGTAATTCACTACCTCCGCACCTGTTGTCAGATTCTCCTACTCCAAGGACAAGGGATGTTTTCATAACATCCCTTTGGTTTCATAATTAATTTCATAATAATTCATAATTAATTTTCTCCAGAGGCTTTTGCTTCTTTTCTCTGGGCTCATGGCTTTCTCCCCTGAGAAACCTTCATTTTCTGTAAGAAATGATCCACATTTGCAATTGAATAGCTTTCTCAGCTTCTATAAGGATCTTTTTCATTTCAAACTGTCAGTAATCCTTATAGTCTAAGGTTTTGGTTTTGCCCAAATACATCCCTTAAAAACTTTGTGGATCTTTTTTTTTTAATTTAATTTTATTATGTTATGTTAGTCACCATACAATACATACAAACTTCATGGATCTTACTGGGATTCACTCTGTGACCCCTAAACCACCTCCATTCTTTTTTTTTTAAAGATTTTATTTATTTATTTGACAGAGAGAGACACAGTGAGAGAGGGAATACAAAGCAAGCGGATTGGGAGAGGGAGAAACAGGCTTTCTGCTGAGCAGGGTGCATGATGCGGGGCTCGATCCCAGGACCCTGGGATCATAACCTGAGCCAAAGGCAGACACTTAACGACTAAGCCACCCAGGTGCCCCACCATCTCCATTCTTCTTTCTGAGACAGAACTCTCTCTACTCTGGGTGTGTCAGATTGCTATGGGACAATGCCCTTGCGTTTCTTAGAAGCCCTTCTGTCTAGATGAGAGGGTCTATGAGGTACTGTTTAACTCCTTTTGAGGTCTTACAGCTGCACTCTTGAGTTGATCTTGACCTTAAGGCCACATTTTACCTGTAATGTCCTAAATGTGATTTCTCTTCTGAGGTTTGTTTCTTATTTTGATGATACTTTGCTAGCTGGAGAGACTTGGACCCTCCATATTTTGTCTAATTTCTGCTTGAAAACAAAAGTTCCTTCTTTAACTTGTTTATCTTTTGCAAAGCCTTATCATAGGTGACTAAAATAAATCAATAAGCACTTTATATATTCTGCCCAGAAATCTCCTAAGCCAGATCTACAAGTTCACTAATTACATTTTCTATCTTCCATGTTTTTATAGGTGGCAGTGCTGCAAAATATTTTGCCACCACATTACACTGGTTAGTCTTCCTCCAGCCTCCAATAACAATTTCCTCACTGCTCTTCTGGCCTCCACTAACAGACTTCTTGTCTTTCCAAATTCTGCTGGCTGCCTGGTCCCAAAGTCAATGTCACATGTTTTAGATTTTAGTTATGGCAGTACTCCATTTCTAGATATCAATTCTGTAACAAGTATCTACTGCTAAATAACAAAGCACCCCAAACTTACTAGCTTATGATAAGAACTGTTTATTCATTCATGACTTTATAATTTGGGCTTAGCTGGGTAATTCTTCTCCTTATCTTGACTGGGCTCATTCATGAGGCTGTAGTCACCTATCAACCTGGAGGATCTAAAATGGTTCCACTCATATGTATAGGGCCTTGGTGCTGGCTATAGGGCTACTTTCTGCACGTGATTTTTCATCATTCAGTAGTTTAACCCATCTAATATTGACATGGTGGTGAGAGTGTTCTAAGAAAGTCAAAGCAGAAGCTGCAAAAAACTATTGAGACCTATGTTTGGGAATTTACAGGATATCACTTCTGTCACATTCTATCAGTAAAAATAAATAACAAAGCCAACCAAGAAACACGGGATAAGGAAAAAGACTCCCTCTCTTAATGAAAGAAGTTGCAAATAATTTGCCATATTTAATCCCCCACAGGTGACTGTGACTGCAAAAATTCTAAAGCAAATTTAATATTTAATGATTTTATATGGAAAACAACATAGCAGGAAGTAGATACAGATGCCCAATACCACCATTTCCATTAAGGCAAGAAAATGGGATAAAAATTATATACTTAGAAAGGAAGAGACAAATTTGTCATTATTCTCTATACAGCCAAAAACTTAGAAAATTTTTACAAATATGGATAAACTATTAGAATTAATAAATGAATTTAGCAAGAGTGCTGGCTTCAAAACCAACATACAAAAGTCAATTATATTTCTATATTTATACTGGAAATAAACAATTAGAAAATGAAATTTTACCCTTTTTTTTAAAGAGGTTCTTTTTTTTTAAGATTTTATTTATTTATTTGAGAGAGAGAGAATGAGAGATAGAGAGCACGAGAGGGAAGAGGGTCAGAGGGAGAAGCAGACTCCCTGCTGAGCAGGAAGTCCGATGCAGGACTTGATCCCGGGACTCCAGGATCATTGACCTGAGCCGAAGGCAGTCGCTTAACCAACTGAGCCACCCAGGCGCCCAAATTTTACCCTTTAAAATACCATAAAAGGGGCACCTGGGTGACTCAGTCGGTTGGGTGTCTGACTCTTGGTTTCAGCTCAGGTCTCATGGGTCGTGGGATCAAGCCCCGCATAGGGCTCCACACTCAGCAGGGGGTCTGCCTGGAGATTCTCTCCTTCTGCCCCTCCTCCTGCTCTCTCTCTCTCTCTCAAATAAATGGGTAAATCTTTAAAAAAATACCATAAAATATCAAAGATCTAGAAAAAATCTAAAAAAGATATGCAATCTCTATATTTAAAAACTATAAAACATTATCAAGAGAAATTATAGAAATAAATGGAGAGATATACTATTTTCATGGATTGGAAGATTCAACCATATTAGTTTCCTGGGCCTGCTGTAAGAAAGTGTTACAGAGATTTATTGTCTTACAGTTCTGGAGGCTTGAAGTCTAAAATCAAGGTATCAGTAGAGCCTTCTTCTCTCTGAAATGTGAATGGGAGAATCCTTCCTTGCCTCTTTTAGCTTCTGGTGTTTGCCATTAATCCTTGGCATTCCTTGGCTTGCAGCTGCATACTTCAATTTCTGCCTCAATTGTCACCTGATGTCCTTTCTGCAAGTGCCTGTCTCTATGTCTTCTCTTTTTATAAGGACGTGAGTTATATTGGATTAACCGTCAGCCTCATTCCAATATGACCATGTCTAAACTAATTACATCTGCAACAGTGCTATTTCCTCAGGTCACCATATCTTTTTGGGGGATCTGATTCAACACAATGAATAACAAATGCCAATTCTCCAAAACAGGTCTACAGTTTCAGTGCAATACTAAACAAAATTCTGGCTGATTCTAAAATATATGAGCAAAATTTGGTTACATTTGGCAAGTAGATTCTAAAATTTATATGGGGGTGCCTGGCTGGCTCAGTCAGTGGAGCATGTGACTCTTGATCTCGGGGTTCTGAGTTCGGCCCCACATTGGGTGTAGATATTATTTAAAAATAAAATCTTTTTTTTTTAAGATTTTATTTATTTATTTGACAGAGAGAGACACAGCGAGAGAGGAAACACAAGCAGAGGGAGTGGGAGAGGGAGAAGCAGGCTTCCCGCGGAGCAGAGAGCCTGATGTGGAGCTCGATCCCGGGACCCTGGGATCACAACCCAAGCTGAAGGCAGACGCCTAACGACTGAGCCACCCAGGCATCCCAAAAATAAAATCTTAAAAAAAATTTATATGAATATGCAAAGGACCAAGAAGAGCCAACACAATTTTGAAGAGCATAATGGGAAGGAAGACTTTTTTCTACCAGATACCAAGATATACTGTAAAGCTTTTACAGAAATTAAGACAGTGTGATATTTCCACAAAGAGAGACAAAATGAATAGTTTACTTAGTCCTGAAACAAATCCACACATTTATAGACAACTTATTTATGCAAAGGTGACAATACAGGGCAATAGGGGAAAGGACAGACTTTCAAAAATAGTACTTAATTTAACATTCATATGTAAAAAAATGAAAGCTGACTTACCTCGCATGATACACAAATCCCCACTTCAAGTGGATTACAGAGCTAAATGAGAAAGACGAAGTAATTACAATCCCAGAAATTAATCAGGACCTTTGGTAGGAAAATATTTCTTAACAGGACACAAGAAGCACTAAGCATAAAGGTCTTCTCTGTTTGTTAAAGACACCAATAATAAGGTGGAAATCCTGGCCACTGGGTGGGAGAAGATATTTACAATCATATACCCAACAAAGGACTCATATCTAGAATATATGTCCATGATAAAATGGCAGACAATCCAATACAAAAATGGGTAAGAGACTTGAACAGGCACTACATAAAAGAGTATATCCAGATATCCAAAAACATAAAAAAGGGCTCAATCTCATTAGAAATCTGGGAAAACCAAATTAAAACCACAATGAGGGCGCCTGGGTGGCTCAGTTGGTTAAGCAACTGCCTTCGGCTCAGGTCATGATCCTGGAGACCCGGGATCGAGTCCTGCATTGGGCTCCCTGCTTGGCAGGGAGTCTGCTTCTCCCTCTTCCCTCTTCCCTCTCATGCTCTCTATCTCTCGTTCTCTCTCTCTCTCAAATAAATAAATAAAATCTTAAAAAAAAAAAACCACATTGAGGGGCAACTGGCTAGCTCAGTCGTTGGAGAGAGAGACTCTTGATTTTTGGGTGGTGCGTTTGGTCCCCATGTTAGCTGTAGAGATTACTTTAAAATAAAATCTTTAAAAACCCAAAAAACAAAAAAACGCCACAATGAGATACCACTATACCCCCACCAGAATGGTTAAAATTAAAAAGATGTACAGTGGTAGTTATTGGCAAGGATGTGGGGCAATTGGATCTCTCATAGATGGCTGGTGGGAGTGCAACTGAAAAACCACTTTCTAGAAGTTCTTGACATTATCCACTTAAGTGGGTAACGTAACAAGCACGTTCATTGCTAGGTATAAACCTAGCATATGTGCAACAAGACAGGAAAGTTCACAGCAGCATTATTTCTAATAGCCCAAACCTGGAAATATCTCAAATGTACATCAATAGTAGATAGTTAAATTGTACCATATTCATAAAATGGAATATTATTCAGCAGTCACAAATCAAAAAAACAATTCTGAATGAAAAATACCAAATCTTGGCTTTGAACAAGTTAATTAACCTAGTCATTTACATCTCTGAGATAAAAATTTGTACCTCTTGGGGTTGTCGTGAGGATTAAGCGGAATGATGCATGTCAAGTGCTTAGCAAGCACGGGGTTTAATAAATGTCAGCCATTATTTATTCGTATGTTCCTTAGTAGGCTATATTTCTGGAAATGGTAATTCAGGAATAGTGCAGACTATCCAATGCCCCCAACTTTCTGCCCCAAACTCTCTCTTCTGCCTTTTTACCTTTGGGTCTTGGTCTCTTTAAGAAGTCAACCATAACTGAGGAAAGAGGAATCCTGGGAAGATCTACTCAGTTCAGGTGCAGAGCACGACGGGAAAAGGAGGGGCGGAGACCAGGGCTGCGCACGCGCGGTTGGCCTGGTGTTGCGTTGCGATGGATCAGGCGGAAGAATTCCAGTAAGAGAAAATAATCCTCGTCCCCGCGCGGGGAGCCTTGGGTCCTAGTCCTCCTTACCCACCGGTACTCCCTGGGAGCAGGGAGGCAATCGGAAGGTGAGCGCAGCGGGTGGCGGCTGCAGGGTCTGCGCGGGGCGGGGCGGCAGGCGCGCCACGTGAGGAGGCGGGCACCGGGCGAGGGCGGCGCCGGGAGGGCTGCGCGGCTGACGCCGTGCGGATTTCGCCTCAGGGACGCGGTGACAGGGATTTGCGAGTCGCGTTCTCCCCATCAGATACAACGTTGCCGCGTTTGTACTCGGTGACGGGCGTGGAGATTATTGGTGGGGACGAGACTTTCGCAGCGATACCATACTCGAAGGAGGGATGAGCACCCGTAGATTGTTGTAACTGTGGCAAGTGGTCAGAAGTTCTCATCTCTTCTTCCCCACAGGCTTTTCCACCAGTTGCCCATTTCCCTGCCTGGCTTGACTATTTGGATAAGGACAACTTTGGGGAGCTTCCTTTTTCCTTCAGGTTTAGTACGCTTACTCTTAGGGGAAGGGAAGTCTGTTGGATGGCTAATAGAGTTTCTTGTTTACAGGAAAGCGATTGCGAAGCAGAGCTCGGAGGGGCTTCTTCGTGGGCATGGCCCCCAGGGAGACCTTGGAAAGTTCAGGTCGTCCACTTTAAACAGGGGCGTACCTGTCGTTCACTGGTGGTGGCATCTGGAGCTCTGATCTATCGTTAGGCCGAGAAATGGGGCCCTTACGGAGGCCTCCAATAAAGGCTGAGTTAGAGGTGGGGGTGGGGAGCTCGGTGTGCCCCACTTTGAGAACTAAAAGTTGAGGTGGGCCTCCAAGTACTAATTCTCCCGGAGTCAGAAACTGTATTTCTGAGCCCTTCCCCCTAAGTGCTTGGTAACTTCTTCCCACATCTTGGCCAGCTGGTCTCATACCTGTAAGTTTCAACATTGGAGAGACCAGAGTGTTTGTCTTTAAAGTTATTAGGGAGGTGGGAGCTTTTTCCAGAAGACTTTTCTTATTTTATTTATTTTATCTGTTTTTTTTTAGGGAGGGGAAGAGGGGTAGGGAGAGAGACTCTTGAGCAGGGCTCCACACCCAGCCCCGAGCCCTTGGAGTCCTGGTGGGGCTCTATCCCAGGACCCTGAGATCATGAGCGAATTCAAGAGTCGGGTGCTTAACTGACTGATCCACCTGGGTGCCCCCGGAAGACTTTTCATATGTGAAGATAACTCTTAAAGGAACAGAAGGCAGGAAGAGGGGAGACTAGAGTTTGTCATGGTCCCAGAAGAGTTGATTTTCAAAGGCTCAACTCTGAAGCCTTGGGCTCAATGCAAAGCTTTTAAGATAGATAAACATGAAGGAGAAAATAAAAATAATAAACCTGAGTACCAATCCTTTATGTTGTATTTTAGGAGTCCAGCTATCCTTTACCAAGAAGAAATCTGTTAGTTTTAGACTGGGGAATTCCTTTACATAAAAAATTAGAATGAAAGAACCTTTGGATGGTGAATGTGGCAAAGCAATGGCACCACAGCAGGGGCTTCTGGACAAAATTAAAGAAGAACCTGACAATGCTCAAGTAAGCATTTCATTTTATTAAAAAAAATTTTTTTTATTCTTTTCTATCTGGTGAATTCAGATTTTTAGTTAGGCAGTTTCTGGCTTGTATGTTAAAACAACCCAAATTTTTTCCCCATTATATGAGTAGATCAGTTTTTCTCCTCTTTAAATGAGAAAAGATCTTGGTAACTGTATATTTATTTTTGTAAAAAGAAAGTAATATGTATTACCATTTTTCTATACTTGGTACTTTTTTTTTTTTTAATATTCTTGTATCTGACAGTAGTTTCCTTTTATTCTGTAAGTATTTGTGTTCTATTCTATGCCAGGGGATCGAGGAGTCAGTTTAGTCCCTCCCCTCATTGAGCTTATAGGTTAGTAGGGAGGATAGACATTACACAACTAATTGATCAAATAATATATATAATTACAGACTATGACAAGTGCTCTGCAAGAAAAGCCTAAAATGGGGAATCTGACCTAGTTTGGTTGGGGGCAGAGGCTGGGTAGGGAATGCTTCCCTGAGGGAAGGATGTTTAAGCTGAATTATGAAGAAGGAATTGACTGGGCAAAGACACAAGAGAGCGTTCTAGACAGAGGGATCAGCATATAGGAAAGCCCTCAGTTGGAAAGATGGGTGTTTCTTTTGAAGAACTGCAAGACCAGTGGGCCTGGAACAGAAAATGTATGAAAATGGTGATGATGGTAATGTTGATCGTAACAACAACACTAATTGATAGTATTTATATATCAACATGTAGTATATATTATATCATAATAACTTGTGACATTATAAATATTAACTTACTGATATTTATATGTGCTTAGATTGTGCCAGGCACCATTCTAACTACATTATTATCCCCATTTTACAGATGAGGAAACCAAAGTACAAAGAAGTCAAGCAGTTTACCAGGGATCACCCAGGGATCACAGCTCATAAATGGCAGACTAGATTCAAATCCAGGTAGTCAGACTTCAAAGCCTGTTATCCTGCTTCTAGGATGAGGCTCTGTAGGTAGTTTGAGGCCAGATCATGCAGGACTTTGGGACCATGTTATGAATTTTGGTCTCTATGGGAAGACACAGTGGGAAGAGAGCAATGGGGAGAGATTGCAGGATTTTAAGTGGGAGAGTAAGATAAACATGTTCAGAAAGATCATCTAGGTACCCTTAGGGAACCAGATTGGAAATCTGTGGAGATCAGTATAGAGACATGGTTAGTTGTTTTGGCAAAGAATGATTTTTTTTCTTGCACAGTTCTTTTGCTTGATACTCTCTAGTTACTGCATAAGCAAACTAATAATACTAAAAATACAAATAATATAATAACAAAATAATAAATAATAATGGTAATATTTTATTTCTCATACCATCTCAAAGGCAGTATTATTCCAGGACAGGGATGCCAAATAGGTTTTGTCTCATTCATCAACTCCGTGTCTTCCTAGAGTGCTGTGCTGAGAAGGCATCTGAGGTAGTGTCTACAGGATGTGGGGTGGGGGGCTGAACTTTTATAACAATTTCCTACTCATCCTTTTTCCTTCAGACACAGTCCCCAGCAAAACACTGTGTAATAACGCTATTGTAGCTCTACAGATCCGATATCTCTCCCTTTAAAGACCTGCTCTCCTCAGGTGTGATAAAGCATGAACTTTTTAGTGTAACATCCAAACTATCCATGTTTTGGCCTTTGTTTCTGTCTTCAGTATCATTGGTCATCCTTCCCACCTTTTCTAGTCTGTTTACCTGCATACTATCTGCAATTTACTCGAAGTCATATTCTGTTGAGTTTTGTTTTCTCGCCTTTGCACATGCCATTTTTTCTGCCTGTGGTATTCTAAACTAGGCAACTTGGCAAAAATTTTTCTCCTCTTTAAGACATGGTGTAACAGTTGGTCACTCGAGTAGGATGAATCATTCCCTTTTTTTCTATTGTATATTGCTTTCACTTTTGCTGTGGCATCTACAGGTCAATGAATTTTGTTTTCATACCAAGTCTGGAATCCTCAATTCTTAGTGCAATGACTGGCACAAGATTACATGCTCAGTAATTGAAATAAAAGAATCTCTGTTTCACAGATGAGGAAACTGGACCTGAAGGAACAAGGGACTTCACCAAGGTCCCATGGCAAAGTTGGGATATAAAACCAGTTTTTAAAAATTCTAGATCCAAGTTTTCTTTCATTATGCCTTGTCTGTATATAAATTTAACAAATATTGTGCTACGAGTTGAATGTTCTTTCTGAATATCAAAATTGTGATAATGAAAATCCCCTTAGCAGCTTACATTTTATTTTTTTAAAGATTTTATTTATTTATTTATTTGTCAGAGAGAGAGAGAGAGAGCACAAGCAGGGGGAGTGGCAGACAGAGGGAGAAGCAGGCTCCCCGCTGAGCAGGGGGCTCAATGCGGGACTCCATCCCAGGACCCTGGGATCATGACCTGAGCCGAAGGCAATCGCTTAACTGACCGAGCCACCCAGGCATCCCAACAGCTTACATATTAAATATAAGTAGATAGGGACTGACTCAGTTCTCTTTGTTTGATATTAATGCTACTCAAGGTGAATAGGCTATAATCTTTTTCATAATTGAGAGTGTGGGCTATGATAGAAAAGCCAGTTAAGCAAATAGTGTATGGTGTTTTCCATGTTGCATTTGAATATTGGAAAATGGTAGGCAAGAAATAAAAAATGTCTCATATTTTCTGATAACAACCTTCCCCTGCTCGCCCCCCACCATCCAAAAGCAGTGTTCCTATGAGAACTTTTGTAGGCTGAAATGGTGTAAAATGAAGACATGATTACCACTAAATTATGTGGAAAATTTTTGAGCGTTTCTAGATTAGGCTTTTGTGATACCTTAGGACATATCTTACAGATGTACAAAATAAATCAAGATAAAGCACTGATGCTCACATAGTTCAGAGCTATAGCAGCTGAGATGGTTGATGCTGAGGTGCTGAGTGTGCTTCCTGGGAAAGGAGCTTGGTGGTGCTGCTCTCGCTTCTTGCTTCTCGGATGCACGCTGCCTCTGTGACTGCTGCAAAACAAAGCTGAAGGCTGTTTTCGGTTTTTGCCTTTTCTCATAAAAGCAGAAATCTTCAGATTTCTTTTGGTTAGCAAAAACAGGTACTAATGTCTTTTGTGAAAGTGAAGTGGCATTACGTGAACTTTTTAAAAAAATTTTTATTGTTATGTTAATCACCATACATTACATCATTTGTTTTGAATGTAGTGTTCCATGATTCATTGTTTGTGCATAACACCCAGTGCTCCATGCAGAACGTGCCCTCTTTAATACCCATCACCAGGCTAACCCATCCCCC